CAGTCTCATCTTCTTAACCTTCCCATGCTCCTGTTGGGGGCTAAGGGAATGCTTATCTCCCTGAGCGCAGCCTTCATCAAACCATTCCATCACAACTATATTCCTATAATCAACAAAACTCATTATTCTATCAGAAAAGATCAATGGCTTATTCTTGATAAACCCATGCTGTCTCCTGATACGCAATACAATCTTTTCTAAAAGTTCACAAACCAACTTCTTAATAATCTGTTCCAGAGTTTTGCCCAGTATCAATATCAACTTGATGATCTGTAGTCATAGGGGTCCTCCCCTTCCCCAATTTTGAAGATAGGAATATTTGCCCTTCTTCAATCTTCTGGCATTGCAGTCATCATAATTTCTCAAAAATCACAGAAATGGGTTGCCAATATGACATTCACAAACCTTTTCATTAATTTTGGATGTAGCTGGTCTCATCTTGGACACAAAATTATTCATGGTAGCCAGGTGCTCCGAAATCATCCTTTACTTATCTTGTATCAGTTATTCTATTTAGGTCAATTTGGGGAGAACACTGAAACAGAGTAGGAGTTGAGGAGCTTGGTCATCACCTTGTCATCTGTTAATATCCAACCACCCCTTCTCCAAAAAGTGAGCCCACCCCTTCCTTTTTCTTCCTTTTACTATTGATGCAGTCACAGATCTTTGTGGGCTAGATTTCTTTTTATGTTGGTTGGACTGGGACAACTTCCGGTTTGGGATGGCACTGTAAGCATGTATCTCACTTCTCTCCTGATTAAAAGGTTTTCACACTTCTGAATTACCAGACTGTATGGATAAATACTTTGTTCATTGGGTAATTACAATTTATTATATATTATTTTGTTTTTAATGAGCTACTGGCACAGCAATAAACGGTCAACTGCTAATTCCAACTGCGTCACTATCCGCTAAGCCAGGAAAGATGGTGGAGGATTCTTCTAACTTGTTAAAAGAGATCCTGGCTCAGATACAAGTCTTGAAGCCAATCCAACAAGATCTGGCTGAGCTTAAGAGTGATCCAAAACAGATGCAAGAAAAAATGGCTAGATACGATTACATGCCCACAAGATATAACTCAAGCCAGTCACAATATCTTGGATAAATGAATTACTTACTTATAAGTCACAACTGTACATGAAAAATCTACATGTGATTGGTATTAAAAACCCTCCACGTCAATCAAATCTAGCTGAATTTATGGAGGATTTTTTCAGAAAGCTCCTTTCTTTAGGAACAGACTTTCCAGTCGAGATTGAGCATGTGTTTAAAATTCCTTTAATGAGAAAGAAGGCTGGAACTAGTTCCAATAACATCACTGTGCAGTTCCTTCGTGTTACCACAAGAGATGAGATTTTATGTATATTTCGCCAGGAATCAGTAGGCTCCACTGAAGTGGGGTTCCAGCCAAGTAAGATATCAACATATCCTGATTTTACCAAGGAAGTTTTTGATATGAGAAGGCTGTTTATCGAAGCTCAAAATCTTGCCAGATCAGCTAGTCCATTATGCTTGTATAGAAAAGGATTGCCTAAGACAGCATCTTGTTGGAGATGTTATAAGGACAGTGCTTCTTTAAAATACATGTTTTTATAATGTCCTATGCTTACTAAGTTTTGGGAGAAAGTAGTGGATTATATAAATATCACTGTGCGACAAAAGCTAAAATTTTCAGAGGATAATATTCTCTTGAATTACATACCTAGTACATGGAATTTGACAACTGGAAAATGTAAATGGACTCTCCATGCCCTTACTGTGGCTAAAAGACTTACATTGCAGCATTGGAAAAATAAATGAACTGCCCCATTTACTCAGTGGATTGAAGACCTGATTATACTTGCCACCTATGAGCCTATAGCTGTAGACTTTGTATGGATAAGTACCCGAAATATGGGACTTATTTATGCAAAATACAGTAGGTTAAAAAAAAAGCATGATAGTTATATAAATGTACAGTATTAGAAAGATAAATACACACACACACATTTGCATATTGTATTAGAAAATTATATATAGAATTAAAACTTATTGTTGTAACGACATATTTTATTTTTTCTGTTGGATTCTTTTCACTTATTTCTTTTTTAAACACTTATGTATTTTTATTTGACAATGTATGTATTTTTGTGTTTTGTTCCTCCCCCCCCCTTTCTGTTATTTCAAAAGCAATTAAAAATAAATAAAAATGCCCTCAAAAAAGACTACCTCCTTTCTTATTCAACATGGATTCTGACCAAGATTGGCTGAAGTGAAGAACAGTTCCTACACTGATGGGTAGAACTTTTTGTGCCATCAAAGATGTCCTGCATGTCAGTCCCAAAAGTATCTGATGGCATCTGCAAAAGTCTTATCCTCCAGGCACCGTTTACTGCCTGTTCTTTCTATCCTTGCTCTTCTCGTCTCATATAACCACATGCTAAGTCTGGGCTAGCAGTGTGAATGAAAGATGTTCTGAATGCTTGAAAAGGTGCCACTGCTGAAAAAACAAAACAATACAGAACTTGATGTTATACTGTAGTTCTGATCGTATATCACTTACTACTGCTTTTAATTACTATTTCTACAACAATTATTAATAAAGTACTGGAAAAGGTACCTCAATATCATACACATTTGGATGAAACTAAATTCACTTTAATCTGGTAGCCAGGAGGGCGAGTAGACATCAATGAAAAAATTGTCGCCGCAGCCGTCTGACCAGCTCCCTCGACTATCCCGCCCGCTGCAATAAGATAAGCGTCGCCCGTCTGAGGCCCCTCCGCCTACGAAGCAGGCGAGCGGCACGTTTGGCGATCGCAACTGTCGATCGACATTTTGTGGGTTGCATCCCAAACGGGAAAATCCCTTTCCCAGGGTGGGCGGCGCTCGGGGCTCGGCGAGGGCTTTCCGGTGGCGGGTCACGTGGTAGGGAGT